CAAACCCATCTGCTCCACCCGCGCCTCTTCCAACGGCTTGATGACTTCGCATCCGAAACTCTTGACGCGTTCGAGAGTCTGAGCTACATCCGGCACCGTAAAACCAATGTGCCCAAACCCCACTCCGGGTCCTGGATAGTCGTTACCGGATGCGTATGGCGTATTTGAGTCAGCTGGTATGTGGTAGAGTTCCAGCAAGCCTTTCGAAGTCCCGAGAGTCGTCATGCCGGCATCTCGAGGCCCGATGTAGTATATCGTCCACGGTCCAGCGTTGAAGATGAAAACGACATGCATGCCCATGCAGTCGCAGTAGAATTTCAGACTCTTGTCGGGATCCTTGATCCTCAGCATCAAATGGTTGAGACGGTACTCTGCTGTTGCAGGGGAAGCGGGTCGTGGGGGAGGCACGATATGCTCGCCGATTTGATATGGTCCTAAAGGCTGGTTGGGGTTGCTGGATGACATAATGTTGGTTGGGTAGGTCTCGATATGGTATATTGCTACTGCTTTTGTTGAAGGAAGGTTCCCATGTCTTATGAAGGGACTGCGCACTGAGACTAACTCCGGTCGACGTAAGGGGATGTGGGGCTTGCGGGGTAGGTGGGTAGCCTCTCTGACATGGAGGATTATCTATATCGGCCGTGACTGGTGAGAATTGAACTCATGACGCATTGGCTCATCGGACTTGCTGAGATGCCTTGAATCTTGTGGAAGCGCTACTTGTTTTTCCAGTGAATCTGGTTTATCAGCTATCGGCCGACTTGGAGACGAGGTCCTTTCAACGAGTTGGACAGATCCTTGACGTGGGGTACTCAGAGATGCTCCTTCTGTCAACTTTGGTTGTGTGAGGTTCAATGTCAGGATCATAGTTTTGTCCTCTTATGATCACAGTTTGTCTTTTCCTTCGAGCGATCTTGCTCAAGTTCTTGATCGGAATAGCCTGATGGAGTTCAGAATCATCGCTATGATAATCCTCACTAAGTGGGGTTCGGTCATGTAACGAGGGAGAACCTGTGCTAAATGAACCGGGTGACTCAAGTGGGAGGATGCCGACTCTTCTTTCTTTCCAAACAACGAGAGCAAAGCGACTTTCAAGGATGATGCATGGCATATCTTCGTTGCGTAATGCACACCACAATTCATCGCCTTCCTCGACGTGAGCAGTGAGCCGAAGCAGCCAGAAGTCGTAGCGTCTGATGGACATCGATGGACTTCGCACCGTGGTTGTTCCCCTCCGTGGTAGAATATAGGTTCTTCAGCTCGACATGTCGTACTATGATAGCAACCCCTCGAGCTTGAGGAGAGCGAAAATCTCAGTCGTAGGATCTCAGCGTCTATTCGCAAAGTTGGAATATAGCGAAGACTTGAAGGGGCTTGGCTGTTATAGGCTCTGACAAAGGCGTCGGCAAGAGGCTCTTCCTCACCAGTCACGTTTGCCACACTGATCCTGATGAAGATCTCGTCCTCAAGTACACGTTCGTCGTCCCACGGTGGCCAAGAGACTGATGTGATCCATCCGGCCCAAGACCAGCTAGGAAACCCGCTCCTACGCTGTGCACAAGCGTTTTTGCCTAGCCTCCAAAGAAGCCCGAAGGCAAATGCTGCATGTATTTGACTGGATGCCAATGATTGTTGAGAACCCTTGCTAACGCAGCTGCGCTTCCAGGAAACGAACTGGTACGCCGTGAAAACAGTCGGAATGCCCCAATACTGTGAAACGGGAGACCCACGTCGAGTATACCTTTCAAAGATTCCTTGCAAGGCATTCAGTGCGTCTGATTGGTGAGATAACTGCCGTTTTGTGTACTGCTCAATATGGGTGGCGAGACTTAGACCAGGGTCCCCAAGCCCACCGTAGAAACACACAGTGCTCCACCAGCTACCAAAGGGCTCGTACAAAGGTCTCATACACCTCGTGGAGTGCGATCTTGTTGCAATCGAGTATAACTTGTCCGGGTGTAAAAATGAGCCGACGCTGAGAGCAGAGACTCTCTTGATAAGTCCTAGATTGTTGAAAACACCATTAGTTTGTATCCAAATGCTGGATCCGAGGCTATTTCGTACCAAGCTCGCGAAGACCATGCTGAGGTCTCAACGAAGCCCCATCTGTCAGGGCTTGATAGCCAAACGTTTTCATTGATAGTGATTTCTGGTTGAGCGAGCCTTGGCATAGTGGTCATACCAGGAAGAACAGAACAGAGCTACCCGGAGCAGCAATGATAGTGATATGTGCTGGCTCGTAGATCGAGTCCATTGCCGATAGTTGTGCGTGCATTTCGCGTGGATCAGATTGGTTGATGCAGATTTTGTCTACCCAAAGATACCGCATACCGAGTCGTAGCACTACTTCCATTGCATCACTGACAGTCTTCGGTAAGGAATGTATAGGAGTTGCAACGCTAGAATTGGTGGAGTTAGGCGGCTGCTGTATATGGCCAGACGGCTGATCTGGCGATGGAGGTAAAGTCTCAGGACCCCAAACGTAGCTCAGCGCAGCGTAGTCGCAGTATGCTGGTGCGGGAACTACTACTTTTCGCTCGCAGTCGATCAACTTGAAGCTTGGAAGACCTGATAAGCGTCCTTCAGTACGGGCCATGTTCAGACCACAAGAAGAACCATGCGCTGCCTGGCACCATGCTATCCATTCTTTGATGACAGCAAAATCGATCTTGCAAGGGAACAAACACCGTAGAGGTAAAAGTGGCCACCTAGAAGAAGTTCCACTAAGAGTCGATATGCAAACCCCGTGCAATCAATCATCTTCTTGCGACGATATTCGAAGCGCTCCCAGTGCCGGATTTACCCTAACGAAGGCGCGGTGCAAAGAAATGCAGCCCTTGTTCCGAGGGTTGGCTCTGGAGGAGAAGGACGAAAGGTGTGCTTGTCCGTCGATGCAATCAAAGACAAAACGACAAATACGGCACCGCGCTTTGTTCTCCAAAAGTAGTGATACTTGCAACGTCTTGGTAGACACTCCGGCTGCAATCTTTTCAAGGTCGATGGAAGCGCATTGCAGGCACAAATCTGACGTCGTCCATTCAGGATCTGAAAGAGGCGCGATGGGAGACACAAGCGATGCTGCATCTAAGCCAGGGACTGTATTCATCTTTAGATGCGCTGGCGTAACATAGGGGTAGTATTGAGTCTGTTCTTAATCCAGTATCGAGTTTTGTGGTTGGCGTGGTGTAACGAGCAAAGAGATGATACCGGGAGTCATATTAGGCAACTACGCAAGGCTGAATCTCTGGTACAAGTCAGAGACGGGCTGCATATTTATTGCAGATTGAGTGCTTCGCGAGATGGGTAAGGAGTTATCGAGCTTGAGATGACAAGTTGGCCCCGAGCTAGCGTCGCCCCTCTAGTGGCGCTAGTGGCCTGCATGCAGAACAAAGGTTGACCCATTCAACTTTTGATGTTTTGCACTTCTCACCCACACATCGAACTGAATATGGAGTTCCAACGAGGAGAACGCGTAAATCTCAACTTTGATACTGGCGCAGTGGAGAAGCTGGAGCCCGAAGACAATGAGCAAATTTCGCTACCTACGTTTCCCACTTTCGTGGGCGACATCCTCGAGCGCGAATCATCACCAGCTAACCCACCAGTTGCGCCTTCGCTCAAGTCAAATGTGAACGGTTTTCCAGCGCATAAAAAACGCATACCCAGGATATCAGCGTTCAAGCAACAACGCGCGGCAAAGGAACAGCAGGCTACGGCCACAGCAAAGCCGCTGAAGCAAGATGCCCCCAAGCCGCGCAATGCAGGGTTTGATCCGAACGAGGAGAGGAGAGCGATAGACGAGGAAAACAACCAGACGCTTGCATCCATGTCAGCTGCGGAAATCGAACAGGAGCGCCAGGAACTCATGCAGAGCTTGAGCCCGGCTTTGATACAAAAGCTGATGGCGCGGGCTAACATTGACGAAGGGAGCAATGAGCGCGATCTCTACCCAGTAGAGCCGCCTGCACCTCTTGCGACTAACGACACCGAAGTAGAACCCGCGTTGAAGCCTTCATCCAGCAAGAAGGTCTCCTTCGCAGCGCCCGAAACCATAGACGAGGCGCCGTCGCAGCAACCTGAAGTCCTCGGCACATCCACCACAAGCCCCCAGTCAAAACCAGACTCGGCACAAAATACCCTACACTTCCCAACCCCAGGGCAACCACCGGACCTCGATCCCAACGACCCCGACTTCCTCGAAAACCTACACGAAAAGTATTTCCCCAACCTGCCCTACGATCCCAACGCTCTGTCGTGGATGAAGCCAATCGACCCTTCCGACAAATCCTCTGCATACCACCCCTCACAGACCGCACTCAACGCGACAGAGCTGCGCTTTGATTTCAAAGGCACACTTCTCGCACCCAGCGTTGCGCGAAGCATACCGAGCGACAGGGGCCTTCACCACCACGCGGACGCGCCCGAAGCCGCAGGATACACAATACCCGAACTAGCGGTGCTGAGCCGAAGCGCGGTGGCTGCGCAACGGTGCATGGCGTATCAGACCCTAGGACGCATCCTATATCGGTTGGGACAGGGAGAATTTGGCATCGAGAAAGCGCGGCAAGACGTGCGTGGACCTGTACAAGTTGCCAAGGATCCCAACGCGGAAGAAAGCGAGGACGACGAGGAGGAGGAGGTGGGGACCGCAATGGCAGCAGGTCTGTGGTCCTGTATCGACGAGGGCCACATCATCGACACGTTGACCGAGGAGGCCAACAGGACGAGGGGGCACTTGACAGCACGCACCTTTGCGCAGGAAGCGCTCTGGAACTGGCGGAGAGGTGGAGGTCGGAAGCGCCAGGCCATTTGAGGCGACTGAGTGCTCTGTACGTAGGAATACTATTCGAGCGCCAAGCCATCTGAACACATTTCCCCACACCATCCACGCTCACACCCCAGCACAACAGCCAAAAACAAAGCCCTTCCCTCTGCATCTACCAACCCCTCCCTCCCCTTTCTTCCTCCCACCCCAACACAGCAAACCTCTCCAAAAGGCACGACGTAGGTAAGACTCGAACTTGCGCTCCCAAAGGAACAAGATTCCTAGTCTTGCGCGATAACCACTCTACACTGCTATTAGTATACCCGTTATCGAATATGGAAGAGTTGTTGTGAACGTAACCCCCACCACGCCTGTGATGTCTGATTAGTTGAGTGATGGGAATTTTGAGGACGGGGTGAGATATATACATTCAGTGATTATGTGGTGGGGGTGTGTTCAGGGGAGGGTAGATATATAGAGAAGGAACTGAGGTAGTGTGAGGTAGATTCAGGGCAGTGTACTGATATAGTAAGTACGATTCTTGACAGCGCTAGAAAATTGGGTGGAGTGGAGCTGAGGTTTTATGCATGACAGTGCGTGGCAAGCACTACCTTCCGACCTTAACTCTTACTTGAACATAGGGTAAAACACGTCAAACTATCAATGAAGACCAGTCACGCAGAGAAAGGTACAGCTATTCAAGGCCGGGTATCAAGAGTGTTTAATGCCATGTACAAGCTCTACTCGAGGTACCAAGAATACGGAAGAATGCCGTTCGCTATGCATAACCCCATCCAACGGTCATCTATCAAAATGCAAGCTATGCTGAAACGCCTGGCCACACTGGAGCACTAAGGAGGCAATTGCAAGCGACCTTTTGCAAGCACCTCATCCTTTCCAGGCAGCTTGCTTTTTGCTCTCTTAGGCGGAGATTCCAGACACTCCTCCCCTTTTCTCTTTAACAGGACAGTATCCAGCCAATTATGCATCTGAAGAACCGGCTTCACGGCAGCGTCTGCCTTTGGATTGTATGCGTGACAGCCATGAGAGGTTCTTAGCGTTTGACTTCTAGACTTCTGCATCTTTCTCTCACAGACGTCGCTGCACAGAGCCAATGTCAGTAAGGAGCAAAGATCGAGGTGAGCAATGCCTGCAGGATGTGCGAGGCTTGCTTACGACTTCTCCACGCCCTCGATGACCTGAACGTCCTTGTACGCGACAGGCTCGAGTGCTGGTAGTTCAGTATCGTCGACATCTTGCATGGCAACGTCGTTCGCCTGCGTCTCGCCAGGAACGTTCGCAGGAATAGTTTCATCCTCCACCGCCGGCTCTCTCTTGACTGCCTCAGTGAGATGGTCGATGAGGTCTTCGCGGATGTACACGACACCAGTACTTGCAGGAGGTATAGCAGCAATCTCTCGTTCGAAGACGTCGCTCTCGTTCGCAAGTGTGACAAGATCGTCGTTGTACTTGCGCCACAAGCCGTTCTGGTAGTCGTAGATGTAGATCCAGTAGTGTCCACCCTTAGTGCCACCCCGATGGGTAAAGACAGCATGCAGGCGGTATGGATAGTCACGCGCATTCTGGAAAATGCCGTTGACCTCAGCTTCAAGCTGAGTCATCTTAGCATCGATCTGTTCGAGTTCTTGCTTCAGCTGCGTTGACTTTTCCGAAAGGACCTCTGCGAGCTCAGGAGGTGGTGTCGGTAATGAATCACTGCCTGGCTGTCCGTACGCCTTCTCGAGCCCCTGAAGCCAAGCACTGGTCTCGTCGATAGTGTCGGGAACATCTAAACCTTCAATGTCTGTTCGTCTTAACTGATCTCTGCGTTCCTCGAGGACGTGTAGTTGTTGTTGTTTGTCCCATTGTGCCTCTCGAAGCTTGAGGAGTTCCTCCCGGGGCATTGATTGTGTCTCTCCCAGATACCTGTCTAGGTAAATCGTCGTCTCTAACCCGATATGCGAGCGGTCATAAACCTGCTCGCCTTTGACTCGGTCAAATTGCATCCTTCGCAGGTTGATGATCTGTATGGGAGCAGGTCTGTCGATGAACTCATGTTTGGTGACGCCCAAGTCCGTCACATTCTGCCCAAAGTCGTCATCAAGGGTGGCATAGAGACTCCGGTCTCGCCATCCAGGACACACTAAGAAGTGATCCCTGAGATCGCTGACTACTTGTGTTTTTGGCTCGAGCATTCGGACAGTTTTGACTTCGCTGAAGAACAACTGTTTGATGATGTCCCATTGCTCATCATCGCGCACGACGCTGTCGCCCTGAATGGCACACGAAACAAGATCGAATACATTACTCAAAACCTCTGCTGCATCTTGTTGCCGAGCACTCTCCTCGATGTTGCCGAGTATGGACTTGGTCGGAGCAGTGGGCCTGGGAGGAACAGGAGGGGGACGCGAAGGTTCCTTTGGCTGGTCTTGCAAATCCATAGCTTGCATTGATGTATCGCTCTTGTCATCACCCATGACCGAATCTGGCGAATCTCCGTTTGCATTGCCTCCGTTGTGCAGCGGTTCAGGCATGGGTCCGATGAATGGGATTCCGTCTATCAAGTCTGGGCCTTTATTCTTCTCTGCGCCGACCTCTGTTGGGTTTGGCGTTGATTGTGGGCGATCGGTCTTACATAGTGCTAGTGCAGCAAGGTCGATATCGGGCTGAACGGTGTCGGTAGGTGCAGTTATCATGCGCTGGAAGAACGCACGCAGCTCGTAGATGACTAGACTTGTTAGCATAATCTTGCAAAGGGGGAGACTAGACTGACACTTTTGAGCTACTTCCACCATCTCTGCCGTGACAGCTATGCGACCAACCAGTTTACCACTCAGCGCTTCGGGTGATGGGTCTTGCAACCTGTCTTCACATTTGAGGACAAATTCCCGGAACGGCTTGATGGTAAACAGGAATTGAAGCACGCTGTTGAGATAGCAAGTGTTGCCGATGTTGCGAAGACCTACTGGCCAAGTATCGAGCGGATAGCTGTTGCGTCTAACCTCTGACTGGCTTGATTGGTTGTTGAAGTTCTGCGCCTGATCCTTCTCAATCATGATGTACGCTTTTTGCATCTTTTCGGCACTATCCGCGGGCGCGAACGTGATGGTGGTTTTCATGACATCAAAGTCGACTTTGGCAGTCCTGTCGCTGATTGAGAAGAGGGCGTAAGCCTCGCCTATGTCCATCTCGGGTGCCGTCATTGTACCATCTTTGAGATATTGACGCAGTCGGTCGCTGTTGCGATGTTCGGCAATCAATGATACCGCCTTTCGTGCAGTTTCTGCGCAGCCTGGGTTGTCTGACGTCTGCGGACTTTTAGTGCAACGTTACGAGCGGAGGGGCCACAGTGACACATACCTTAACGGACACCATTGTCTCAATGAAATCGTCAGCTTGATCCGGCGACATGTCTAACCATGACAATGCTTGCTCATAGGTTTCCAAGGCATCAGAGGCTTCTGCTCGAATCAGAGCGCTGTTACGGGCGTCACCGATGATGCGCAGCTGCCTCCGTGCCACTTCTCCTTGCGAGGGGCTGACATCGGCAAGTCGAGATCTGAAGACTCCGATGATATGCTCATCATTAATATGCACGGCGTGGGCTGGCTGAATCCCGAACTGACGATATGCGTCCTCAACCTCGCGTCTGCTAGTAAATCCCTGTGAACCGGCCAAAGCGACCTGCATCTCAAGTTCTTCGCTTTTGCGCCCGATGGCGAGGTCCTTGAGGCATTCATAGTAGTAGGACCGGTTTCCCACGTCTACTGCCGTCTGCCGGGCGAACGCGAACAGTATCAGAGCATCCGAGAAGTCGCCAACCGCACCAAGACCTGCATAGTATGGATGATCCTCCTCGTAGTTTGCGCTTGCACTTCTCGTCCCGATGCGCCCCTTGGTTTTCTCGTCTATGATGGTCAGCTTTTGCTCGAGATGTGGGGTGGTTTGCATACAGTCATGACAAGCCAAGGCTCTTTCGATGTAGTCCCGTGAAGGTCGAGGATATAATGGCTTGTGCCGCGCACCAACACGCTCGCTTTCGGGAATGCTTAGTATGAGTGTGTTGAGCTCATATCGAGCATCCTCGATTGTGTTTCGCAACGTCGAGTCGAGTGGACCGCTTGGTTCCTCGGGTCGTGGAAGATACCAGACTTGGTTGATCTCACCGTCTTCTTCCTCCAGTGCGGTGTAGAAGCCAAAGCGAGTCAAAATGGAGTCACAGTCCTTGCCAAAGGTCTTGAGGAACTTTTTGTTTAGAAGCGGGATGCGTCCTTTGCCTTTGACCGGGTTGAGTGCGTCCTGGAGGTACGTGTTGAGGAAGTCTGGTCCGTCCACCTTTCTGGCCATGACCATGTCGGCTCGGTCACCTGCGATCAGTTTCGCAGTCTCCCATCTTTTCCGCAGCTGCGCCGAGTTCATCAAGGTATCGACATCCTGGTCTGAGATGTGTGGCGGCTTCATGTGTATTTGCACCGTGACTGGGCACTGTGGCGCAGAGCAGCGGAAGTTGTAGGTTCGCGGGGCCTTTTGCGACCCAAGGCCGTTGGCGCCATTTGCCTCGCTCTCGTCTTCGGATAGGAAATGGTGCAGCGGGTACTCTGTGTCCTTGCCACAGATTGCATGTGTGGAGCCAGTGTCGTGGAAGTCGACGACGATGTCTATGTGCCAGCGACACTGCGAGCAGTATGATGCAATTTTATACACGGGGGTCTGCTCGGGGTCGTCGCCCGCAACGGGCAGCAGCGACTGCTCATCCTTAGCCAGGAGGGCATGTCTGCAGTTGCGCTGGGGCACGGCGGGGACGGCGGGGAGGTCAGGGTTGTGCTGCGGCGGCACGCTAGTCAGTAGATTGCGGCCGGCGCGCTCTTCGTATCGTGGGTCGAAGGTGAGGAGGTCCTGGAGCAGCCGCGGCGCTGTCTTGCCTATACAGAGCCGCGGTTAGCAGGGCTCGTCACGAAGGTCGCGGGCACTGTACCAGGCGCCATGGCCGCTATGAATGTATGTATACGAATAGTAGAAGCTGCAATGTAGCGCGAAGTATTGATCAAAGCAGAGCTGTGGCACGGAAAGTGTCGTGTAAGTGAGTGGACAGAAGGCGACGGTGAGTCTAGCAGAGCATTGTACTGTAGGCGGCAATCAGAACGGTGTGAAGCCCTTGCCGTCGGAACCCGTGCCACGTAATCACGGGTTGCCTACGAGCATGTTTCTGTTCAGTGCAGTAGGAGATGTGTGGGCGAGTTGCGCGTAACCGGTATATAGTCTACAGAACACAAAGCTTGTCGGTTTGGTTTGCAGCAGTTCGAGAGGTTGCGC